GGATTTTGTGTTGGCTTTATTTATATTCGGTTGTAAAAGTCCTTATAATATTTTAAGAAAATTAACAAATGTTAATATACACTACTTTATGATATTTCATCTGAAATTATTCTTCATTATTTACGTTAACAACATTTTATTTATTTTTCCACAAGAAAGGAAAAGAAAATATTTCCTTTTTTATTCCAGCCCTAAGTTAAATGTATTTTATGTATTTAAATATGACTTTTTAAATTATTGTTATCTTTGTATATATTTTCTCTTTTTTTTTGGTTTTGCTATTATTTTTTCATTTTGTTTTAATTTTCGGTTTCTTTTTACGCATTTTAAAATACATAATAATTAACAATAAAAAAACGCAAGTTTTCACTATACTGACACTATATAAACAAATATATATATTCGGCTGTGCCTAATTTTATATACCCTTCATCATAATGTGTTTAAAAATATATATACATATATTTTTATTAATTTTTGAAAAGTATATAATTCTGGTTCCTTATTAAATTTTAAGGCGATTAAGCCATGTCCGTCCGTCTGTCTGTTGAAATCACGTGGGAGGAGCTAGACAGCTGAAATTTTGCATTAATATTCTCTATTGATAAGGTTTGTTTGGTATTGAAAATGGGCGATATTGGTCAACGTTTTCGGATAGCCCCCATACAAGTGGACCCCTAAAAAACAGCTTTAACGGTCATAACTGTTTAAAAAGTACGAGTAAAGCGATAAAATTCGGCATAAGTAAGTTTTGTATAAAGCAAAATATCTCTACCAAAATTTTCGATCGGTCGGTCTATAATTGACCCATATAAGGTCCCCTTCAAAAAATGACTATAAATCTCATGAAATTCTACACACATAAGTTTTATATGAGCCAAAATCTCTCTACCAAATTTAGTGAGGATCGGTCCATAATAGACCCCATATAAGGTCCCCTTCAGAAAATTACTTAAACGATCACTGCTGGCTTAAAAATACGTTAATCTTGTTACCGAATTTCATATAAACCCCCTTCAGAAAATTACTTTAACGCTAAATACTGGCATAAAAATGCGAGTACAGCGATGATATTCGATGTAAACAAGTTTTATATGAACCTAAATCGATCTACAAAAAGTTATGAGAATCGGTCAATATTTGACCCTTCCCTCCTTTTCTGAAAATGTTAACAACAGTTAACTTTTTATTTATAAAAACTGAATACAACACCAACATGTGATCAACTTCTCAAAAGCGACAGAATTATTAAAAAGTTACATACCGAAGATATCTGGAATCTTCAGAAAATTTAATTTAACAGATAGACGGACATAGCTTAGTAGACTCCTCTGTTTATAGGGATATAGTTTATATAACATTTGGATTCGGAAAATCACACAGAATTAAAATGTCTTGTATTCCCTTAATGTTTTAGAATTAGAAAGCTGTTTGATATATTTAATTCGTTAAAGTTGAGTATGAACCTTACGTATCCAAAATTTAAGCTTTTTATCTGTTAAGAATATGATCACTTAAAAGTTGAAAATTAAAAAAAAAGGTTTGAAATTTAAAACAGATTCAAAATTCTACCCAATGGATTGACTTTGTGTTAAAAAATGATTTTCAGCAGATTTGGATGTGGATATTCCATAACAGATGATTATTATAGTGGTAGTATAGGGTATAAATATGTGGGGGAATAAGGCATAAGGCATGTTCATAAACCAGAGAAAGAACATTAAATGAATAACTAAAGAACAATTACAATAAAAAAGAGCATAAATATGTATGTAAAATAGAGTGTCCCTAGAAACAGCCTTTTAAAGAAACTAATATAGGAATACCACTAAACCAATACGCAATAATTTACTGAGCACGAGAAAAATAACAGAAAATTTGGAAGGGCCATAGTTTTGAATCTCATCTCAATATGTAAAAAAAAAATCTGCAATTTATCCAAAATTGATCTCAAAAGTTCGGTAATTTTGAGATGATTATGGAAAAATATTTATAAAATTTTTTTAGAGTATTTTTAGTGCACAAAATGATTTGTAGTGGGTGGGTACAAGGTATATTATTTTCACTTTTTATCGAAATGGGTGTCAAAATTGTGGTAATTTTTAGCTAATACAGAAAAATATTAAAAAAAAATTATCATTTAGTTTGATCCATTTCAAAATTTTTTAGATTATTTTATAATTTATGTGCCCCTTATAATGCATTAAAAACCGTTTTACTGACCCGTAATACTCAAACAAACATTTTAATAATTTTTCTCGCAAGAAGCTTAAAATTTAGAAATTTTGAGCTCATTATACCCTACACCACTTTAGTGGGGAGGGTATATTGGGTTTGTGCTGATGTTTGTAACATACAAAAGTATTCGTCCTATAACCTTAAAGAATCGATTAAGCTATGTCCGTCCGTCTGGCTGGCTGTCCATAGAAACCTTGTGCGCATGGTACAGGTCGCAACTTTAAAGATAATTAGATGAAATTTGGCCCAAGGACGAAGTTTGTTGAAAATGATTAAAATCGATCCATTATTTCACCTAGCCCCCATACAATAGAACCCCCCGAAAAGGGCTTCTGAGCTCATAAAAAGCGGCACAACTAAGTTATATACAAGTCTTGATGACCTCGCTAAATTTCATAAAGATCGGGCTTCATTTGACCCTAGCTCCCATCAAAGTCCCCTTTAGAAAATTACTTGAATGCCCAAAATTAACTTATAAACACAAATATCGCGATGAAATTCAACACAAATAAATATTATATATACATATATAATACATTCACAAAACTTTATCGGGTTTGGTCCATATTTGATTTTCAAGCGCTGGTAGAGAACCCTAATATACAATGTACACCCTAATATACAATGTACATTGTATATTAGAGTGGTCCCAAAGTGAAAGATGCTTATATTCTCTCGAACTAAAGGTAGCATTTTACAATGCCGATAATTTGCTTCTCGTTATTATATGTATACGGGAAGATAAGCTGGCGGAAAGATCACCATATGTAACTTAAAACGATTTATCTGCATGTAAAAAATTTAAAATTTTAAAGAAAAATTTAAAAAATTTTAATATCTTTGAAATATTGTAAAAATCGAAAGCACATCTCAAAGACTTTTCATGCGATGTCAAAATTTCTTAGATAGAGACCTTTTATAATTTGACCCAGTTTACCAAACATTACCCTGAAAAAAAATTTTGAGATATGGCATCATTGAATGAAATAATTTTTACGTTTCGTTAGGAATATCAGTATAGGGGGATTACCCTATTTTACATATATTCCTACATACAATATTTTTATATACAACCAAAATAAAACAACATTATTATACTTTGTGAAATGTAAGGAAAAACAAACAAATAAACAACGATTTCACATCATCAACAACGATTAAGAAGAGACAACAGCTGCAACAACAAGCCGTTGTTATCTTTTGTACCCTACATTAATAGTATGTTATACAATAGCATGTAGATATCACTGTGTGTAATTTTTTAAGTCATGGATGAATAACCATATACGGACACCACTATATGATAAAAGACCAAAAATAAGAAGACCCGTGTCTTCCAGTTTTGACCAAAGTCATGAACTTTTTTAGTTATAAGCCCCACAAAGATTTGACGCCTAGGTGTCATTTTTGAAAAAAGTGATCATTTTCTCAGGTTCATATCTTGCAAACCATTAGGAATTTTGATTTACTCTCTGAGGGAATGTTGTTGCTCTTATCACAAAGAACAAAAATTGTAAAAATTCGTCATGATCAGAATCACAAAAATTATTATTTTTTTTTTAATGTCTTTCCATGTTCAGGTCTATAAGTAGCAAACCGTTCCAAATTTAAGAAAACAAAAATGTACCTAAGATCTCAATAAACAATTTTCCAGAATATATGAACTTCCTAGGAATGATAGGTAAGTCGCAAAAGTGAAAAGTTTCCTGAAAATTGTTTTAATTCTGATCATCAAGATTTTGTTCTTTGTGATAAGAGCAACAACATTCCCTCAGAGAGAGCAAATAAAAATTCCGAACGGTTTTCAAGATATGAGCCTGAGAAAATGATCACTATTTTCAAAAATGACACCGAGGCCCCAAATCTTTGGGGGCCTATAACTAAAAAAGTGAATGAATTCGGGCAAAACTGGAAGACACGGGTCTTCTTATTTTTGGTCTTTAAGCATATAGTGGTGTCCGTATATGGTTAATTTTTTCGTGTTGCACTGTGTATTTGAATAAGCCATATCCTAAAAATAAGAAATAATCAAAACAATAATTTATTTTAAATAAATATATTTTTTGGACCGAAAAAAACAATTTGGTTTAAAACGTGACTTTGTTTGTGACTTTGTAATCAACAAATATAAAAAAAAAATCAATAAACCATTTATTTATTTTTATTGACTCTTTTTTGATTATTATAATAATTATAATAGATATGTAAGCCGAAGAAAATCAAAGCTAATTACAAAATGAATGGAATCAAAACTTAAATATTTTACAATTGTTAAACCCTACAAACATTATTAAACTAGATAATTAGTTTATCTCATTTGCCATAAACTTCAATAAAATACAGGTGATGTATGAGTAATAAATAACTTATACCTCTCGAAATACTCACTTTAACTTCCGGATATGTAGTGTTAATTGTGACTGATCCCTGCCGATTATGGTTTTAATTTCTCACTTGCCTTTATTATTACATACATTATCTATATACTCACTAAATACACATACATTTGTATATTTTTTAAATAATAGTTTGTATGTTTTATTCCATACTAGTTATTTGGCTTTGCATATTGCTTTTAGCTATATTTTTCGGTAGCATTTGTGGCAATGTTTTTATATTTGTTTTTATACCATAGCATACAACTAAAACAATCACAAACAAGCATCAACAACATTAGAATGACAACAACTGCTAGCTAGTATTCAAAATCCCTGAAATAAGAAAAACGAAATAATAACAACCAAAATTCTCTATTCTTTTAGTGTGAAATTCGTAATAGCAAACAAAAAAAATGAAACAGATTTGAAGGAAAAATTGTTAGAGAACAAAAACTGAAAATCGAATATACATATAGTACCCTGTATGCAGCAGAAAAAAAAACAATAAAAAACGAAAGCAAACATCTAGCATGGAGAGTGGAAAGCAACATTTGTGAACTTCCGGTTGAATAACTATATAAGTGCTAACACAGGGAGACAGAAAATTCAAGGGAACGCAAGTAGGAGAGAGTGCAGAGAAGCAAAAATATACAAAAACATACCAGAAAAAATAACAGCAAAAATCAACAAAAGCTAACAAAACCAGCAAAAATAACAAACAAAATAAAAAAAAAACTGAAAATTGTTCAACAAACTCCCACATTCACACACAGAGACATTCATACAACACTAACACACACACACATAAAAGCAGACAAACATTTTGCAATTGCAGTAGAAAAAACATCACATGCAGACACATTGATTTTAACAAAAAAAAGTACGAAAAAAATATATAAAAGTATACACATATAATAAAAAGTGAAATTTTATAATTTTAATACCAAAACGAAAGAAAGTTTGTAAAACAAAAATTCCCTTGTATACAATATAAAACGCAAAAAAAAAATAATATTTATTTCCTAAACGACCTTTTGCCAACAAAAATAATTTAAAAATAAAATTTCTAACGTACTTTGTATTGAAACTGAAAACGTTTTAATTTAAAGTGAAAACAGAATTACACTTCTAATTGCAGTTAAATTCAAGTGATTTAAAAACCAATAACAAACAAAACCAAGAAATACACATAAAATTATGCTGGCCATGTCAACACTCATGATGCCAGCACCTACTATAGCCATGGGTGCGGCACCACCACCGCCACCCACACAAATAACAATGGGTCCTCATAAGCCACCGGAAACTAAACTCTTAGCCATACATCCGGCTGCTGCTGCAGCTGCGGCGGCAGCTCATGCTCAACATCATCATCAGCAACAACATCCGGCTCATATGCAACAACATAATGGTCAACATACTCAACAACAGCAGCAGTTGTTAGCAACACATCATCAACAACAGCAACAACCACACTATCAACAGCAGCAACAACAACAACAATCGGATCGTCTCTTACAGCAACAACAACAGTTGTCAACTACTTCTAAACCAGGTAAGTGAATGAACTTTTTGTGTTTTCTGTTTGGGAAAAGGTTTTAATATATAAATATGTACACATGCACTAGAGTGTTCCGTGAAAAAGCTTTTTTGTGTATTTGATTTAGGTTTAAGTTTCAAATCATGTGTATTTATGTACTGAAAACATACTGAACTGATAAAAGTTTAGACCTTGAAAAATTTTATTTCTTATTTTTTACGGACTCATAATATGAAGTGTGCCTACAAAAAACTTTTTTGCGGTATACTCTAATATGTACTTATAGGATAGTACTACTAATGTACATTTCTATTTATTTTCTTATCATATCTATAAAAACATAATAAATATTTAGCATACCTTATATCTTTGGTACATTGAGTAATTTCTGTCTACAAATACAAACATATCGTTAGAATTACTAAACTTTTTTTTAACATTAACAGACTATTCATCCAATTTTTTGGTACATTTTTTTGGGCCTTTATAACTTTTGAACTAATAAACAAAATAACATTTTTGTAAATATTTTGAATATATCTCCCAAAATTAGGAGACACCTGTTTCGTACTTTTTTGGATGTAAAAGGGAGAAAACTTTTTTTTGGTACTTTTTTTTAGCACATTAAGAAAACTTTTTCGATTTATTGAAGTATTCCTATTAAATTACGGACTAACTCTGTAATATTTGTTGAAACAAAATTTTTGCTATTTCACTGGGGAAAAAAGTACCAAAAGGTGGAAAAACGGGAAATTTAATTGTATTCAAACTCATTGAGCCAATTTTTATACTCACACAAAATAAGCTATTGGTATATTATTTTGGAATTCGAGTACAAAGGCCTATATAGAACCGAGTAAATTGCTTGATACTTTTTGAAAGCACAATTTTTCTGGAACAAATGAATGCAGATTTGAATCGTTTGAGTTTTATCTGTGATATAGAGATTTAAATACGGAGCATTTTGTAAAGTTAATTCTCAAAAAAATGTATTTCTAGACGAAAAGGGAAAAAATTGTTGAATTTATTTCACTTTTGGTACTTTTTCTTTCTTCAAATGATACTCTTTATATGTTCTATAATATGAATTCAAAACACATGATTATTAAACATACACGGTTATCATTGAATAAGATTTTTTAAGAGAGAACGTTTTAGTACTTTTTATGGTTTTGAACCATATAAGGATATCTAAGGAAATTTTATTGACCTATGTAGATTCTTACGTTCAGGTCAGTAACACATTCAACAGATGAATTAGTAGAAAGAATAAGAAAGTAATCTTATATTTATATTGATAAATTAACTTTTGCCACTTTCTTATTCAAATAACTATTTTCTATTAAAATCGGATTTACTCTAATTAGAAGTTCTTTCTCCACTTAAAGTCCAGCAGGCGTACTAAAATAAAATGTTGCCTTTTTATATGTATAAAACTAGTGTAAATAATTTCAGTTTATTAGTGTCAAGTAAAGCATCAGTTACTGCCACTTGTAAAATGTCTGACGGCTTTGTGTATCTTTTAATTTATTATTTTTTTCTAACTCTCATACTCAACTTAGGCCTAGAGACAAGTTGTATTAAAATGAAGTTAAGTAGTTGTATTATGTTTAAATGCAAAGTTATTGCATGATTTAGCTGTTGTTTTAGATGCTCCTCGAGAGTTTTACTTACAGATATCCTACAGTAGGCAGTATTACTTACACTCAATTTAGGCTAATTTATTAAATAGTACAAAATCTTTTCTGAAAACGAAAACTTTAAAAATAGCTAATAAATCAGGAAATCATTTATGATTATGAATTAGAAATTCTTTAGTTTATGTAGCAACTTTAATTTCCGGTTCTGACCGCATAAAACTAACTGTCTCAGTTATCCTTGTTGTTGTTTTGTTTATTTTTACCACAAAAGTTTGTTTAGACATAAAAGACTGAAGAAGTAATTTTCTTAAAACTTTAGAACTTCACACTATTTAAAGTGTGGAAATTTTCACTTTTTAGCATAATATTATTTATTTTCAGAGAAAAGTATATACACAAATAGTATATAAAATAATATACATTTTGTAGTTACTATACCATAGAAATATATACATATGTATATTTACTAGGCACTTAAATTGTATATATGTATGTATGTACATACATACAATTGTGTATATTTCTATATACAGTGTGTATTTACCTATATATTTATCTCTAGTTATGGTTATACCATTATTTTACTTCCGTTTGTATATTTTTGTAATGAAAGTAATATTTAGTTGTATACAAAAAAGGATAGTATACGAAGAAAATATATTAGAATTTTTAGAAAAATATTCCTGTTTAGAAAGAAATAAGAAGTAAACAAAACAATAAGAGTAATACTCAATATTTAAATATATAATCTTCCCGGTTTTTGAAAACACATATTCCAAAATGCTTTAGATATTCTTTGGTAAATTTTTCAGATTTTTTTTTAAAAGAGTCTTTAGATTTTCTATTATAAACCCTTTAAATTCTACAAATTATCAATGGAATTAAGGAATTCTAATAGAATTTCTTTGGAAAATTTTTCAAAATTTCTTTAGAAAGTGCTTCAGTATTTCTCTTAAAAACCTATTTGCTTGCCTTTAAAGCGCCTTGGCGACACATCAAATTGTTTGACTCAAACGGTAAGTTTTTTGATTGTGTTAGTAAAAAAACTCACACCGCATATATACATGTGAGTTTTTTCACTAACACAATCAAAAAACTTACCGTTTGAGTCAAACAAATTTGATGTGTGGCCGTGTCGCTTAAAAACTCCGTTATATATTCCTTTAGAAGATTTTTCAAGTTACAAAATTTTTTAGATCTATTTCGAAAAGATTGAAGATATCTGGTAAGGAACTGAAGTCCTTTCCAAAAAAAAATATTTTTCTCGTATTTACTACCTTATATGCACCTATATATAGAATATTTTATTATTTCCTTTCTTGAAGTAATAGTAAACTCAGCACCATGGGATTACTTCTCCCACAACTATGAAGATTTTTCTTCAAATTACTATTTGTAATTCAACTACCGGTATTACATGTAGACTTTTGTTGGTATCAACTTAAATTGTTATCCGTTTTAATTCTATTTTAAGTCTTGTTTCCTTTTTTTTTGCAAATTAAACGATATGGATTTGTATAAAAGTGCCAGACAGTAGGCAAGTGTATCTGTTTGACTGGGAAATTTGCAAGCAAACTCCTATCCATGCTGACTACCATAAGCCTAAATGTATTTAGGTTTTTCTTTGTTTTTGCTTAGTTTAACTAGAGGCTTGTTTGAATATAAAATACCCGGAAGTTGTTGAAATTTAATAAAATTAATTTATATGTATGTATATAATGAGAATAAAATAGCTATATTTAAAATCAATATATTATATTTAATATTAACATTATTGTTAAAATTTAATTTAACGAAAATTAAACAAACAAGTAAAATTGTTTAATTCGGCTGTGTTGAATCTTGTATACCCTCCATTATGTCCTGTAAATTTATCGTTAATTAAAATCAATATGAACATTAAAAGAGGACCTTTAATAAGGGCTTGGATTAAAGAAAAAAACTTACGTTATGTCAAATTCATAGATATGATGATATTTTTAAGTCTGTAATAAGACTTGAAGTCATTTTCTAAAGGGGATCTTATAAAAGGGTTAGTTATGAACAGAATCTCATAAAATTTTGGTAAAGAGATTTGGATTCCCACAAAGTTTAATATTTCATCGCTATACCGGAATTATAATGCCAGTCACTTAAAACGGATGATAGATATTGTAAGTATTTAAGACGATTAATGTTCTATTTTTTCATTTTAGTGATTTTTAATTGTTGATAAATTTAAATGATAAATTGAAAATTTTACTGGTAATTTTAATTATTAAATAAAAATGGTAAATTTTAATTATTAAATGAAATTTTACAAATATTATGTAGAATGTATAAATTATGTTCAATTCGTTGCAGCACTTTTACTAAATAAATTTTGGTTTATTTTTATACCCATCACAGAAACTTGGGGCGGTATATAGTTATGTCATTGCGTTTGCAACACATCGAAATATCAGATAAATATATATATTATTGATCCTCATTGGATTCTAAGAAGATCTATCAATGTCCCTCAGACTGTCTGACCGTCTGTTGAAAATTCGATAGAGCCAGAACGTCAAACGCTGGACAGCTGAAACTTTACACAAATACTTTTTATTTATGCAAGTTTTTTGGTATTGAAAATGTTCAAGATCGATTCACGATTTAATCGAACCCCCATCAGTTTATAGTTAAAAATTAATTCAAAAATTTAGCATTAGGATAGAATAGTGGTCGCATTAAAAAAAATAATTATTTCTTTAAATTTTAGAGAGCTAGGTGCATAACTAAGCCCATCCCTCATTGAAAAGGTCTTCAACGAATACCAGCCATTCATATTAATCTAATTAAATTCTTGCATGGGGCCACCATACGAAATTTAATTTAGGCCTTATTCATAAACAAGCTTTAATTATACCCACCATCAAAAAAGATGGGGGCATATTGTTTTTGTCATTCCGTAACACATCAAAATATTCGTCTAAGACCCATAAAAGTATATATATTCTGCGTCCTTATTAGATTCTAAGACGATCTAGCCATGTCCGTCCGTCTGTCTGCTGAAAACTCGATAGAGTCCAAATGGAAGTAGCTAGCGATCTGAAATTTTACTCATATACTTTTAGTTGATGCAGTTTATTTGGTATTCAAAATGGACAATATCGGTCCACGATTTTACCTAGCCCCCATACAAGGCCCCTTCAGAAAATGACTTTATAGCTCATAACACAGCGGTGAAATTCGCAACAAACATGTTTTATAGAAACGGCGAACATATTTTATAGGAACCTAAATCTCTTCGTCCAGTTTTATAAGGATCGGTTCATAATTGACCCTACCCTCCATATAAGGTCCCCTTCCCACCCCCTATGAGGGTGTCTTTAGCGTTCATTAGTGGCATACGAG